GTCAAGCGCTCGCAAATTGGCAAGCTGCGACGGCAGCAGCAGCAATTGGAACACAAGAGATATTGACTCGAGCGTCCTTGGGCGGAAACCGCACACACACACGAACACACACACACACACATTCTCATTTATAAACACATATGCAAAGCAAGGCTCAAACGCACACATATCAAAAATAAACCATCAAGCGTGGCAAAAAAAAAAAAAAAACGACGTCATATCAACATTAGTCAATGTCGCCCGTGTGTAGGCTTTTTCCATGGCCATGCACAGCAGCCCGCGCAGCTCCCGTCCGTGCATTCTGGCCATGCGTGTGCCGTATCCTTGCTGCTTTGAATAATTGAGCGTCGCTTCCGTGTGTGTGTGTGTGTGTGTGTGTGTGTGTGCGTGAATTGTTTAAAGTTTGAACAATTTGCGTAACTTAGTTTGAAACGCGCCCACCGAGCCCAGACATGGGCATAATGAACTTCTACGTAGGCTGTCATATGGTGAAAATTTAATACTTTAAATTCAGCATTTTAAGGTATAAAAGTTGGCTTGACCCGGGGCGTTTGTGTTCCAGACTTCTCTAAATAATAGCTTTCACTTTTTAATACATTTTTTGGCCTTAGGCTCGCTGAAACATAATTGATTAATTAACTAGGCTTTAAAAACTAGTTAAAAGTTAATGGCATGCAATATAGAAAAGTTTAATGAAACATTTTTCTACCCATTTTCCCTGGCAATGGACTATGCACGATTGATAGTCATATCATACATAGATGATATAGTTGGGCCAATAAAAAAAAATCAAAAAAGGTCACAAAAGTAATTAGTTTATATTCAGTCTATTGTGAGTTTAAGGGTCAGTATGCTATTTGCTTTTCTGGTTACTTTGCATATACAGCTAAAGCAGATAAATCTGATATTTAGAGAATTTTGCTTTAAAAACAAGTCGCTATTTGAAATTTTATTGCCATTATGCGGTAGCTGCAACATGTGCTCAGCATCCATCACTGGACCAGCTTCAAGTTCGAATATAGTTTATATAATTCAACAAACTTTGCATAAAAGCAAACGCTTGCCTCAAACATAAGCTCTAGTGTCTCACACGCATGCATACATGTGTGTGTGTGTGTGTGTGTGTTTATGCGCGTCTTGGTGTGCGTGTGTGTGTGTGTCAAGTATAACAAAATGTTTGCCTTGGTGCTGAATTTCGCTTGAAACGTTTCATGTACAACTCGAAGTGGCACACGCTGCGAAGATTGGCTTTGGGGAAAGTTGCTCTGGCAACTTCAACCAGCGTCTTCCTTATATTGACTTGCACTTTGTGGCGCTTTGCGTCGCATACAAAATGGCTGCAAGACAATACTGCGCTTAACGCTCAGCTACCAAACGACAGGAAGACGAGAAACGCTTTTCATTTGCGGTTGACGTCCTTTGTGTGCAATTCCACTTTGGCACCTTTCTGCTGCATGCACGACTTGTGGCCACTTTGGCAGACTGTCACAGAGTTTGTATATCGCGTTTGGTGAAACTTCATTGTCAGGTGGCAACCAGACCGAACATGTTTTTTAAAAATCATTAAGACAACATAGGTCCATGCGGCGTATGCTTAATGTGCTTACAACATGAAAAAATGAGAGTAAAACGTGCATGTAACAGGTTATTAGAGTACATAATGCAAACGACAACCATAAGAACAACTTTATCCAAAGATCCTTAAACAACATCTGAAGCAACAATAACAACAGCAAAGACAAACCAACCAACAAAACATGAGACACACAAAAAATCACAATACAAAGTACTGTCATTCATTGTGCTCCCCCGTTCGGCAAGGAGCTTTTCTTTTTCGCCGTCTTCTCTTTTTCTCTTTCTGGCTTACACTTATTCGCTTGTGCTTATGCTCTACTAATGGGTACATAAACATTGTCATGAGACTAGGCAAACGTTATGCATATAAATGTACATCAAAACTTTTAAGAAGTAAATACATATGTAATCCTGATAGTTTTCCGGCTTTAAGTGAGCCCTAAGGTGTATAAAAGCTTAGGTTTTAAATTAAATAATAACAATTTTTCAGCAGCCCGCCTCTCGGTTCTTTTCAGCTTTAAGTAAGTGTGTAAAAAAGTCGATGTGTTTGGTTTGGTACAAAAAAATAAAAAAATTGCTCACGCATAAGCGTTTGCTTTAAGCTTATGAGTGTGCGTGTGTTCGTGTCGCATATGACATTTTATCTCTGTCACTAAATTGACACTTTAGTTAATGGATTTTGTATGTGTGAGTGTAGGGCTTGTGGTGTTTGCTTTTGTAGCTGCCTATTGCTCTGGACTGTTGCTCTTAGGGATAACAAAAAAAAACAGCAGAAATATGGCACGCATTTTGCCAGGACATTGCTCCTATGCTGAAGCGTGAATGTGAGTACTTTGAATAATAAGAATGCTCAATTTGATAGATGCCCAGCAACTGTCTTTAGATTCCGTATTGGATACTTTAGAGAGAGGGCTGGCCTAGCATTTTCCGTCAATTCATATTTTGTATATACACACCCTTTATTTATATTTCTATAAATTTGTGCTGGAGAAAATGCATAGTCGCCAATTCGAGAAGTGTGTGAAAAGTGTTCTGGGAGCTAAACGCAAGAGACTGGGTGAGTGCACGATTTAAGCAATGGCAATGATTGTAATGAAAGCCATTTCGATCTAGGGACCTCATTTGGGCTTCTGAAGCGAGAAGTCAACGACGGTCAGAAGTTGCAACAGTTGCAGCTGCCGCAGAAGCTTAAGCAGCAACGGCAGACTGTTGCATGTCCTGTCCCGCCCAAAATCCTGAATGAGGTCGTTGTGCACTGGACACGCTCTGAGCGCCACAAATATACGTCAATTAAACTGATGCCACCTTGGTGAATTGATGGACATGGCATTCAGCGCTGGCTACAAATAAGGTTCGAAGCATATGTACAAACTCCAAAATTGAATCGATCTATATGTTTGGCATCAGGTCTCCAGGGACTTTTTGACTGCTTTCATTTTAATTGTTTAACCGTTTAATGTCATATAAATTTTCTATTACAACAATACAGCTGCACCAAACTGCGTATAATTATATTATTTTAATGGCATTCCAGTATTGTTCATATTTTGAGAAATAATTCCATGTAAATTAAATTCATTTACTTGACATTTTATGTCCATTCCTCGCCAGTTTTGTAAGTATAGCATAACAATCCCCATCGGTTTTAAATGTCGCAATTTGTCAGATTTTTTAACGGACTTTAAACAGATTTCATTTATCGTTCGTGCTTTAATTTAACGCAATAATTTACACACGGCTTCGCCGCAATGCGTCGGTCAAATTTTTCGAACTGAGGGATTTGTATTTTTTACTGACAAATTAAATAATAAATTGCAAAAGTTTGACCGTGTGCTGGGATTTCTCTAAGTGTATATACACACGAGCATGCCACGCCCTCGCCCTACCGAGCATTGGCAATCAGCTGACAGATTGAGTGATTGAATGACAGGCATACTTAGCATATCCATCCTCTTGACATTAATGGGCCAGCTGTAGGTTAAAACTTATTTTTAATTTGGAATTTTCAATTTGCATACCCTGCTCATGAAAAATGCTTGATTACGGGTATGGTCATTTTAAGAGGTATAACTTGCAAGAGAAAAAAATGGACAGACGACAAATGTCTCTCGGTTGGTTCAATGTTCGAGATATGGCAAAGTAGCTTAAGACTGAGCACCCTCCTTGAATTCTACATTTAATTTTAATTAGTTATTAAATTAGGCTAAGGTAAAGCTTTTTTCTACTTGTTGAAGCATAACTCATGTGAGTGCGTAATATAAACAATATATGTTCCTTGAAACTGGATACACGGTATCTCCGGTCGATCTATCTTAACTGATATTTGCTTACATTTATTCATTGGAGTGCGCAGATGCGTTATACGCTGACCAGCTCAAAGTGGAAAACTTTACTCTGTTCGCCACATATGCGCAGGTATTTGTTGCGCGAACTTTTGCGCTGCCACACGAGAAAGGTGTAAGGGATTCAATACATATATTTTTGCATGTATACATAATTAAATAAAATTGTGAAGCGACTATTCGCGCAGTATTGCAGGCTCCTTTAAAAGTTAAATGGCTCTGAGCGTAAAGCGGCAGAAACCCAAAATGCACCGAGCAAAGGCCCAGATTAATGTTGGGCACCAAAAAGCTTTAATACCCAAGGGATGACGGCATACGGCGGGTTGGCTGGTTATGCAGCAGCGCCGCCGCATTGTAAGGCAACTCATTTATCATAAGAAAGGTGCTGCAAGGGGTCGCTGGCAAAAGTAGCTGACAAGTGCAGATGAAATGTTGAAAGCGCCAAAATGAATACACAACGCAACAATTAATTGTCTGCATTCATTCGTTTGAGCCCGCGACGGTAGACAGGCGCAGTAGTGTGGCCCGAACCAAGAGCGTATCCGGGGCGTGGCAGGTCGCGCTCATGACACGCAATAATCGCAGAGCTTTTGTATTTAATTAATGGCTCACAATAAAGCTATAAAAGATCTAGTATATATATATACACTTAAAGGCAAATGACTTATATACTTCAGTAGCTGTAACAGCTGCCACATGCTACATTTTTATGCGCCTGTCATAAAGTTGGAAACTATGCTTTTGTGTTAAATATTACTATTTAATTAATTATGCACCACGTCTCTGTATTTTTTGGTTTCATTTAATTAAAATGTTTATTAAGAAATTGCAATTGCTGTATGAGAAATGAGGCCACAAACCGTCGGCAGCCACTTGGACATGCAAGATTTGCTGCATGATTAATTATCCTAATGATGACATACGGGTCCAAGCGCGTGTCGACACAAAAGATAGCCAAACCTAAGTGAGCATCAGGTGTGCCTGGTTGTTACACAACAGGCTGAGAGCAGTTTGACAAGTTGCCAGCAGAATTACTGACACACAGGCAGTATATAATTTATTATAATTTTTATACTATGTTGAGCCATAAAAATCAAAAGGAAGTGCTATCATAGCAGGCTGATACGCAAAGCAGACGAAATGCTTTTAAAAAGCTATTTATCGGTCCCTCTGTACAGTGTGTTTTAGAGATTATAAAGTAAGATATATCATATTTATAGACTTTCGTTCATTTCATATAAAGTATCTTTAACAAAATATTAAATTCCAGAGATTTACATACGTAAAGCAAAACATCTAATTGCATGCCTGCCCGTAAAAGTATGAAATATAAAATATACAATGCAGGCCAGACTGTCCACAGGAATGTAATTAATTTGTTGCCCAAATATGTTGGTAATTTATTAATTACACCATCAATGCCAGACATTCCTGGCCGATGTTTATCATTAAGCAAAAGAAATAGCCAGACAAAAGCCCAAAGGGAAGCAGGCAAAGAGACTTTGGAGCAATTAATTGGGCGCCGTTGCGCACAGGTATTTGAGGGTGCTTGTGTGTGTACGGCCCGGGTGGAGCGCATATATGCCCAGCGCTTAAGTGCAGCAGCCTTTGGGCCAAGTGTTAATGATCAACATAAGAAACATAAAGGTTGCTACTGTAGTGTTGAGGGGGAGTGGAGCGGCAAATAATTATTAATTCAAGAGCCAAGCAATGCACTTGAACATGTCTCTGTTCATGCCCATGTAGAGATTTTATTGAAATGCGTTCTGATTGCAATAAAAGATGAAAATAAAATAATAAATGGAATTTTTCGCGTGACAACTGCATTTTAAATTCGACTGCTACTGCTGCAGCAGCAGCTTCAACTGCAGACTGCAATGCGTGCGGAACCATTAAGAATTCATGATGTCCTTGACAGCGTCGCCAATTGCAAGTCCGCGTCAGGCTCCAGATCGGTCAGTTCTAGGATATGCATATGAGCATTTATAGAGGCTGTGATTTTCAATGGAGCGATATGAAAATCTTGGTTTTTTATTGTTTTTTTTTTTAAATTACAGTTAAATGACGCGTAATAAATCTGCAAGTCTCCTTAATTTCAATTTAAAGACAAGAAGCTTTTGGTCTGGTGCTGAAATATTTAACAAGATAAATGTCTGCAATCAATCTACAACAGTCAAACACTCTGGATTACAGGTCGTTACAACAATTTAAAGGTGAAATGTATTTTGTTGCAACGTCCAACTGTATTCGGCTCCAATGCCATTCGTGCAGCTGGATACGGCAAAAGTGAAAAATACAGGCAAGCCACTCACATCAGAGATTTCTACAACTGGCTGATAAGATTACAAAGTTTTCATTTAAGTATCAGTTTCCATCGATTTTACATTTTCAGCAAATCGATAACCACATATCTCCGCTCGAAATATCTCCGCTGCTCTGCAAACCTTCGCGCGGAGATATGTTTTGAATCGTAATTTTTAGAGAGGCGGAGCTATGTAGCTTCTAAACCTTATAATGCCATGAACAACGGCGGGGTCCGATCTCCGCGCGGAGATATATCATTGTCAAAACGACATAATCTCACGGGGGGTTATGTCGATATCAAACGTCATCATTTCGCGATAATTCCGCCGGCAGAGATATGTCGTCGGAGCTATGTCGTTATGTGAGGGTAAATACGCGACATAAATATGTCAACAAAAATTGGAGTATTCGTATTGCCAATTCAGGACTCGCGCTTAAGTGTTGTGAGAGGGTCACGGCAAATTGCTGGAAAGCATTTACACAAGCCAAACCAAAGCCAAGACTTGAAACTAAAACGTCGCATTTGCAATTGCATTCACACTCGAGTCTGGGTCAGCATTTGCTGTGTGTATGTAACATGGTCTCAAAAGTGGTTTGCAAGCGAAAATGAAAACGAAAACCCTTAGAAATGTCTTGCTTGCCTGTGTGTACATCGGATGTGGGTAAATAGCGCACAAGGAAATGTACAAATAAATATTTACAATTGAAAACCAAAGGGAAATGCAAGCGCCATGGGCCAAAAACAAACGCTAAAATGTTTTCCATATACAAACATATCCTTACTTGAAATACTTGAATATAACAAGAACACTTGGGTAAGCTTGTGGCAAAATGGCATTTCTTGCGGCTAAATTTAATTGCAGCTGCGGCTATAAATGTAATCCTCACAGATTATGGAACATAAAGGTCAACACTAAACGTAGGCATATCCGAATTGGATCTTACAAAAAGAAAAAACTGGCTAACTTTAAAATTATATTCAAATCAGCGGCAATTTGCATCTCAATAGCCGGTCAAATAAAATTGAAGAAGAGCAAAAGGCGGACAGAAAAGTTGAAGATAACTTGAGTCGACCAGAATATACCCTGGTATTTAACAATAATATATAATAATTTAATAATATATATAATATTATAATATTTTTATTAAAAATACATTATTTTATTTGAATTAAGATACTCGAGCTCCGAAAGTTCGTTCTCATCGCGTCAATCTTTAACCCAGCACGCTTTATATTGGACTTCTGGCTTCTCATATATTTGGCTGTAGTGTTTTTCAAAAAAATATATACGTTCGCATTTTCCAGCTCTAATTTCCAAAAGGAAGCTGCTCTACAAATTTCAGCTTCCAAGCGCTTTAACCAGCCAATCAGGACAATCTCTTTTATATCATAGAAAATGTTCACAGAAGTATGCCCAATGAGCTCTTTTTAGAGGGTGTAAACACGTCGAGCGCTGTTGAAGCAGTTTGTGCTAGTCACAAGGCGGCAATCAGTTACAGGTTTAGCGGAAAATAGCTATAATAGTAGCTGATATGAATATGAAAACCAACAAAAAAAAAAGGGCAAGGAATTACAAAATTGCCTAAAACGAGAAAAAGCCTGTCGAGGCAGCTGCACACATGACTGAAAATAAAGTAACAAAAACAACAAGCGGAACGGAACGGAACAGCAACAGCAACCACAAAAGCAATTTCGATCAGACACAGAGATAAAAGACTGTAAAAGAACTGAATCCAAGCTGAGAGGCAAGCAACGCAGCACATCAGTTACCAAAATGTAGGCTACTGTTGGCGAAAAAAAAAAAAAAGGAAAAGGAACACAGGCAGCTCAAAAGCAAACCAGATAAACCCAAACCACACCCAAGTGGAAGAAAAAAAGAAAAGCTTGAGTAGAAAACACTTTTTGCTGCGGCTGGGGCCGTCTTCAGCGGCAACTGAGGCCCTCAATTGCCATTGAAGGTGCGCTAAAATTATGCAAATCATCGTAATACTTTTAGAGCGCTCGCAAAGGCAAAAGAATATTGTGCAGCGTGCCAGGACATGCTTGCCTGCTCTGTCTATCAAATTGTCTGCCCTCTCTGGCATGCTACAACCCAAATAATTGCCCTTAAATTGGGGCTATGCAAACAGGCATGTAATGGAGCCGGTTCCCTTTGAACACCATTGCATGTGTGTGGCCCTAATGATGGTATTTGCTTCAATAAAATACAGCTAAAAGAGCTGCAAATATGTAGTTGAGTGTCGCCATAAACAGCTTGGGCCTTTAAACGTTTAAATCTGAAAGTACATCAAACAAAATGTATGCGAAAAGAAATTAATAAATGTCAAGTTAAGGTAGTCCCCAGGAGCTTATTGGCTGTGCCACCTGCTGATGCTGGCAGCGTGCCGGCATCGCCCTAACCACGGTTGCAAATTCTCAGCTGCGACAATAAATGAATAAATCAATAAATAATAATGCGGCGTATACGTAATATTGCGCATACGACACGCAGTTTAAAAGCAACACGAAAGCTGCCCATATATGTGCATGCAGTAGTAGTGGGAAGAATCAGAAAACAAGTTAAATCGTGTCTGACCTAAGGATTATCCTTGCGTCAAAGAAAAGTCGTTTTGATTAATGCGTTCGGGCCGCAACTTCTTTAACTTTGCCATGCATGTTGCTTGCTTTAAATGCTGGGGGTCATTTATAAATCTTTCGTCTAAGCCTTGGGCTAAGCTAGGCACAAAAGTGATGTAAAAGTTTTCTCATTTTCTTTCTAACGTCGCGCAACATTAACTGGGCTTATTAATCGTTAAATATAAATGCAATATTAAGTAATAAAGGGACGCTGAAAAATACCCTTTACACGAATACAGTTAACTGTATTATGCAAAGCAAAACATGTCTTCTGTTGGGTATTAAATGTGACATCAAATACTTTGAAAATATTGACCTAGCGTAGCTCTGTCATACATACATCGATGGTGTACCCATGACCTATGACCTCTGTCGCTTGGGGTCCATTTTAAGTGTACGGCGCGTGAAATTGTTAAAGTGTTTAGCGACATTGCATAAGCAAGCATCCACGTGGTCTTAACCACTTGAATCGCTGCTGAAGGATTTTATCGGTCCCGCAACGCATTGCTTTAATGATTTTGAGAGCGCCAAGTGGGCTGTTGAAAATATATGTGTATTTAGTTTGTGAATATGCGTGCGAGTTGAAGGGCTATTAGAGACACGCCTGTTTGGGTCTGCTTTTAAGCGCTACTCACCGCACATTTAGGGCCAACACAGAGCGATGGTGCAACTAGAAAGTATGCCACATGCTACATTGTCTGCAACAACACTAAACTTGGCCACGAATTCTGCCTGCCAGATACAAACGCAAATTTCTGGGCTCAAAGCCTTCAATGGGCTGCGGCAGCGCACGTAACGCTTTGAGCTCCAGCTATACATATGTGTGTGCGTGAGTGTGTTAGTGAAGGAAGGTATGATATATGCTCATGTTTTGGTTTTGTTGCCATTTTGTATCCTATAGAGAGCAAGTCCTTAGTGCAGTTAAGGGACTTAGCTCGCAAATATAAATTTATATTATTGAATACTCACAGACACTAACACACACAAGCACACGCACACGTGCATTACGTATACGCAACTTTGTGTGGCTTTTCGACGACATTCTGACAATTTAATACAACATAACTAACAAGTGTTTTCGTTGTTTTCGTTGTTGTTGCTTGTTAAACATGACCGAAATCAATGTGAAGCCCGAATACAACGTAGTAAGTAAATTGTTTGTCCAACTAACAAAAGCATATGCAATACATGGCTTTAAACAGAGTTGGCCGAGTGTATAATGCGATGTGTGTTAAAATAAATTATGTTGCTGCAGTTGGCCCAAATAAGCCATTAAAGTCAACACAATACTATGTGTGCTCAGACCAAAAGTATCTCATGAAAACTGGTAGGCAATGTGCAAATAAGTATAAAAATGTGCAAAAGGCAAGGCAAACTGTGGCCAACAAACAATGCAAAGGCTTAACGAAATATCCTGGCCCGATTTCCCTTTGCTTTTGACCACTTCATGTGAACAAAACTAGCTGCAATTGTTGTTTATGTATAAGCCGTATGCCTTTGATGCATGCATTCCAATTAGACCTCTTCCTGGGCTTATATGGTCGGTACTTTTTCGCTTTGAGAGTCCTTGGAGTATTGTTTCTTTATTGTAGCTTTTGTTTGTGTACTTGTCAGCTACTCTGTAATCCAGTTAGCTATTTCTTTATGTTTTGTTAAACAATTTGAGTCGCTCAATTGGAATTTCAACGTTGTCAATCACATCAAAAGGCTTAGAGTAAAAAGAGAAAATTGTTTGAATATGTAACACAAAATATTCGTATTATTCCATTTAAATCTCAATTGGTTGAGAATGCAAGGCTAACATATACCCTATAGTTAGGATTTACACTTTCGTTCACAGTAGAATAGTTGCTTGATCTAAAAATATTTAATTATTTTAATCACAATTTCACATTTTTTTAAATA